TTTGCAAATATCTTTTCCCATTCCGTCAGTTGCTTTTTAGTTTTGTTGATTGTTTTCCTTTGCAGTGCAGAAGCTTTTTATCTTGATGAGGTCCCAATAGTTCATTTTTACTTTTGATTCCCTTGCCTTTGGAGATGTGTCGAGCAAGAAATGGCTGCGGTTGAGGTCAAAGAAGTTGTTGCCTGTTTTCTCCTCTAGGGTTTTGATAGTTTCCTGTCTCACATTTAGGTCTTTCATCCATTTTGACTTTATTATTATTTATGGTGTAAGAAAATGTCTAGTTTCATTCTTCTGCATGTTGCTGTCCAGTTCTCCCAGCACCATATGCTAAAGAGACTTATCTTTTTTGCATTGGATACTCTTTCCTGGTTTGTTGAAAATTAGTTGGCCATACATTTGTAGTGCCAATTCTGGGTTCTCTATTCTATTCCATTGGTCTATGTGTCTGTTTTTGTGCCAATACCATGCTGTCTTGATGATTACAGCTTTGTAGTAGATGCTAAAGTCTGGGATTGTGATCCCTCCGGCTTTTGTTTTCTTTTTCAACATTACCCTGGCTATTCAAGGTCTTTTGTAGTTCCGTACAAATTTTAGGATTGTTTGTTCTAGCTGTGAGAAGAATGCTGGTGCAATTTTGATTGGGATTGCATTGAATGTGTAGATTGCTTTGGATAGTATTGACATTTTAACAATATTTATTCTTCTAATCTATGAACATGGAATGTGTTTCCATTTCTTTGTGTCTTCTTCAATTTCTTTCATAAGTTTTCTTTAGTTTTCAGCATATGCATCTTTTACATCTTTGGTTAGGTTTATTCCTAGGTATTTTATGGTTCTTGGTACAATTGTAAATGGGATTGATTTCTTGATTTCTCTTTCTGTTGTTTCATTATTGGTATATAGAAATGCAATCGATGTCTCTACATTGTTTTTGTATCCTCCAACTTTGTTGAATTCATGTATGAGTTCTAGCAGCTTTTTGGTGGAGTCTGTTGGGTTTTCCATGTAGAGTATCATGTCATCTGCAAAAAGTGAAAGTTTGACTTATTATTTGCCAATTTGGATGCCTTTTATTTCATTTTGTTGTCTGATTTGTGACGCTAGGACTTCCAACACTATGTTAAACAACAGTGGTGAAAGTAGACATCCCTGTCATGTTCCTGGTCTCAGGGAGAAACTTCTCAGAACAGCAGGCTGTTCTCCCCGCCCCTTCTCCACAGTTTCTTTTGCCTCCCTGGCGCTCATCTGGGATTCAAACCCTGACATCTTAAACAATCCCGCTCCGCTCTCCCTGGTACAAGGGAAGTGCCGCTCCGCCCTGCCAATAAAATGTCTCTAGCTGGCGGGTGCAGGTAGGGATCTTTGTCCTTGGAGAGGCTATATACCTTCTTCCCACAGCACTCAAGGGAGGGGGTTGTTTTCTCCCATTTGGACTGCGTCTCTGAGCTAGTTACTGAGCCCGGGGCTGGCTCTCCTCCTTCCCAGGTGGTCGAACAGGGGAGCTGGCCCCAGTCCGGAGAAAGCCCCGCAGTTAGAGATTGGATCTTTCTCCGTTTTTTATCCGATTCTCAGTATGGGGTTTTTTTGTTTTCCAAATACAATCCTACACTTCTACAGCCTCTTTCTTTTACTTTTGTTTCTTCACAGAAGGGGATCCATCCCCTCCGTGCCTACACCACCCGTTTTATCTCTCCCAGTTTGCAATCACGCACCTATGGCCTGCCAGGTTGTCCCCGTGGGCCCCTGGAGACATCCCTGTCACTCTGCAGCCCTGGCTCTTGGAATTCCAAGTCCTCTGGCCTCAACATTGCTGTGTTTGAGGGATGATGTAACTTCGGGACCGCCTACTTCCCCGCCATATTGGATTCTTTTGGATAGTTGTTTTCAAGCTGCCTGCTCCCAGGTTGTTTGCCTGTCTTCTCTCCAGTAGCAACACAGTGCCCTTCTGGGTCTATCCCAGCCAAGCCTGCTGACTTTAAAAACTCCAGTCTTTAGGGAAGTGGTGTATGTAGGGGCCTATGCTGGTCTTCTTGGGAAGGGTCCCATTGCACTGGGACTGAGGGAGAGAAGGGTAGTAGTGCTGGAGTCAAGGGGTATGGGACTTGGAGCAAGCTGCTTAGGCAAACAGTGTGGGGCAGAGGTGCCCTAGACAGGTGGCAAGACTTTTATGCTGTGGAGTTGGGGAGGGAAATGACAAGGCAGGTTCCTTTGTCCCTGGAGAGGTGTCTCTGTGAATGCTACGTCTCAGATCTCAGGGATGTTTTCCAAGCAGAGCGAATAATCTCTCCCCTATATGTCTCAGTTCTTCAAATGTCTGTTTCCATGCCATCTGCCCCACCACCACTGGGTTTGTTTGCCTGCCTTCTCTCCAGGAGTAGGGCAGTACTCTCTAAGGGGTCTATCCCAGCCTAACAGTAGACATTTAAGGCCCCAGCCAGTGGCTTTAGGGAAGTGTTCTCCTCGTGTGTTCCCCTGTACGCTCCTATCTCTCTTTGCCTTTCTCTGAAACCAGGGCTTCCTCCCTGCCCCCCCCCCCCCCCC